CGTGCTTTTGGGGACTCCTTTGTAAATCACAAAAAAAGTCCATGGGTTCAGAGGAAAGTGAGGCAGGGATATGCCTGGAAAACTCTTACTATGTCTTGTAACAGCTAAGGTCACATCATTTTGACTGTTTCTGAAACAGTTAATAAAGCCTGTGCTGGTTTTCTTTGGAGGACAGAGCCTCCGGAGAAAGGAGTGGTAAAGCCCAGGTGCCCCAAGAGCTGAGATCAGCACGTGCACTATGTTAGCACTGGCTCAGCATGCCTTGGGCCGGGGGGCAAAAAACCTCCATTTTCCTGAAGAGGAAAGGCTGGGAGCAGAGAGGTCCCAAACATGGTGCGCTACAAACTGTCAGGGGGAGGATCCCTGGGGTCTGTGCACCCACACCATTCCCACCTAGACATCGCTGCTTCAATTAACATTATTCCTGCTCGCTTTTGTCACGTGACTAATGCCACCGAAAGCATGAGCTTTTATAAATACATTTCAAACAAAAGAACATACCTATCTTTAACAGAGGGTTATACAACAAATACTAATTAACCAAGAATATAAGGTAAATATATTTGCTTTTTATAGCACAACAACTCTCAAAGAGCTCACAGCAAGTCTCTCTCAATAGAGTTAAAAACGCTATTCAGGGCTGCGAAAAGGACGGGCTTCTTATAAAAAATCTTCTGCTTTCTAACAGAAATTCAAAGCAATATCAAAATTTCCAATGAAATCGAGAAGCTGGGGCTTGCTGTAGTATACAGGGATTTGGAACTTCTCTTCCACTTGAAGTCAATGAGATGTCTGCCACTGAGTTCAGTGGGAGTAAGACTGGAGGATCTAGCAGTGTCTTTGGGTATTCCTGACTGCATGTTAGGAGCTTGGACTTTTGGTGTGGGTAATGTAAGAATTGTCTCACTCACTTGGATAAATACAATTTGCAACCCACTTTATAGATGTGCTAGAGCTTTTGCAGCCTTTACAATCTGTCATATAAATCCATATTCAAGTGTCAATGTGTGAAGGGGCTGCTTTAGAGGTCCTCTAGGTGAAAACATGAATGAAACTTCTAGAGGAAATGCTCTCAAAGATGAATAATTTGCCTATTTAACCAGTTACTTTAGAAATAAGATGTTGATGGTAAAAGTCACTAGACTGAATTCAACAGGGTTTTTTTCTTTCTACCTGTAACTCACAACTACCAGAGTTGGGAGTTTTGGTGGGAGAACTTGCTGAAAATAAACTATTGAAATTGAGCCTCAGATCCAGGTAAGACAACATCAGCCTCCTTGTACCTCCAAAGCTTGTTAACTTTAATGGCAATTTTGGGTATGCACAGAAAGCAGCCTCAAGTAGCTATAGGAAGAGGGATTAATAATATTATTTCTGAGATAATTTCTGTGACCACCATCATTATGCTGTTGTTGATCACAACTTCTATGTTTCTCATTTTCCTTGCCTTTCACCCTCTGAAAGGCCAGCTTGCTTTCTTGTATGGTGTTTCATTCAAAAAGCCAGCTGGAAAGCTGTGTAAGAGTAGTACATAAGGGGAGTGTGAGTGGTTTAGAAACCATCTTTGACAGTGGCTGTTGAACCCTCTTCTCCTTTGTCACACCAGTTGTGTGCTGCTCAAGTTTTCTCCTTTTTAGATGAGAGAATTTATGAAGCCCATAAGAATTTACTGGAAAGAAGGCATCTACCCCCTTTAATGCCTAATCTGGCACCCTTTACTTATGCAAATTTAATCAATGGACAAATGCTCTTCTCACAGCAGCTGCACTAATACAAACAACATCAAAGACTCAAAGTTGCTCTGAAACAACTCTGGGATCACTGAAATACAAGATTTGGCCTTCGACTTCGCATCACCAGCCATTCACTCACATGAGTAAAACTTCCAGAATCGGGTCCTTTCTCTCCCCGAGTTAGAGCCAACCACATAACTTGGGAACAGCCAAGCAGAGCCAGCTGAGTGGGCTGAGCACAGTCAATCCTAACAAATTACAGTAAGAAATGTATCACGCTGCCTGCTGTCAGGTGTAATTTATATCATACCAGAGGGGTGACTGGAGAGCAGGTATAGGCAGGAACTGGTCATACCTATACTTGCTCCTGCTGGGCCTGATCTGGCAAGCTGCTGGGAGCTCTTCCCTCCCATTGAAGTTAACATGAACCGAGTTTGTTCAGGATCTAACAGGATTGGGCCTCCTCAAAATACTATGGAAGGATAAACACGATTTGATGATTTATTTTTTTCTGTTTTCCAATAGCGTGAGATGTCTCTCTGTATGCATACCCTGACTGTATTTATACACGTGCTCACAATCTATATGTGTCCTTATACATACATGTACAGTATATACTACAAGCTAAAAGCCTACTTAGGATTTTGGAACACAGAGAAAGACATAAGAGATCGTAACACAAATAAACAGGAAGTTTATTCCCACAGCTTTCAATTTTAGTGAGTGCAAACTATTTTATGTGACTGGAGCTAAGATTTAGCAAAGCATTTCAGCATATGCTTACATCTTTTGCTGAAATACAGTCTACAAATTTGTTTGATTTCTTAGATATGAAGCTTTTAAACTCACACTCAAACCAAGAGTTTAATATGCTGTCCGAAATAATCCAGAAAGCTCTGCATGTGAATGAGTATGGCCATGCCTCTGTATGTGGCCATGCATGTTATCTCTGAGCATAAGCTAACAGTGCTCTGGCATTATTTCCAGATGTCTTGCTCAGAAAAGCTATCTCCTTCCTCCTGCACCTGTGAGAGACCTGGGATTCCTCTCCCAGCCAGACCACTGTGAAGACAGCCTGTGCCTTACGGAAGATACACACCAGGGCAGTGAAGCACCATCAGGAGCTCCAACCATACCCACTGAAATAACTGCAAGTACTTTGCCTGAACCAGGAATGAGAGCAGGCCAGACTCAATGGGGTGTATCCAACCAAGTCTACTATGCAGCACTGCAGAAAAACAAATAAAAATATTTAAAAATAATGAAAAAATAATAAATTAAGGTGTACCCTTCATCCAGCTTCATAATATATGTAGCAATATGTCCCACTTGGGATGCTGGTGAAGGGTTATCTTTTGCTATAAAAATATATGTGATTTACAGATCTCATCCTGTAAGCTCTTACTCCAGTGAGAGCTGGAGTCTGAGCAGCTGAAAAAGCATTCAAGCCTTATGAGATAACACAGCAATACAAACGAAAGACAGTACACAGCAAAACATCAGGCAGCACGTGAGCTCTGGTCAGCCACAGTTTTGTACTTCCAGTTTAAACAAAGTACAAAATCTGAAGAAATACACTTTTGTTATTTATCAAACAGGAAAAAAAAAGGTTTTCGATCAGTACTCTATTCTCTTTAAATAAAATCTGTGAATTTATGTATATTCTCCCAAAGCTTCCATAACTGAAGCTTTTATTAAGTAAGTCTGATATGGGACATATTTTAAAAATAGTGTCAGCAGTGATATTTTAAAATGTGGAAACAGACGTGCTACTCTATTACAACTGCTGAATCTTCGCTGTATTTTTTTCATACTACGAAGCATTTGTCTGCTTCTCTGTTATAAATCTCTCCCCACTGAACAGATTTCTTCTCTATGATTAAAGTAGTACCACTCAGACATCATTAAACAGACGCTATCCAGAAAGAAAAATCATATTGTTTTGGCCTGACCATAAACTATAGGTATTTTAATAATTGTTTCTTTTCCATAGAGAATTTTAGCAGCTCCCTTTCCTTGGAATGAAATCACAGCCACATGCTTTATGACATCAGAGGCGTTTCAAGGTGTCTCCATAAATGCCATTTATTGCTCGGGAACCTGCCAAATCTGTGCAAAAATCTCTAGTTCTTTTAAAGGAAAAATCTTCAAATGAAACTAGAGCTTTACAATGGTTGTCATACCAAAAAAATAAATCTATCCCTTATGGAAATACTGGTCACGCAGGTAGCAAAACCTCTGGCAACAAAACCTGCTGACCTGGGCTCTGGTTTGCTTTTGAGTCAATAGTGCCTCCTTTAACCAGTCCGCTGGGCACCCTGACACTGCACATCCGCACCTTCTCTTGGTTACATATGAGGCACCCTTCTGAAAAATAAGCACTCTGAATGACAAAAAGCTGAATTGGTTTAGTGATCATAACTGTAAATCAAAATCAGGTATGTCTTAACATACTGCTCCAACGAATGTGCTTTAACCCTTAACACAGCGGTCCCTTCCACACTACCATCGTAGGCCTGATGCTGCCCAGGATTCCCCATCCTTCACGGTGCCCAGTACCCTGCTGGACTGGGAGCCAGGCAAATCATAAAGAGGCTCTATGTCACATACACAAATATACTCTCATGCCACATCTATTCATAATCTGGCATATCTGGAGTCTACTCTGAGATAATACTGGCCAGATCTAAATAAATCTTGCCAGACATGTCACCAACCTGTCCAGCACAAACCAGCTACCTTTAAGCATGCAAAGATTCAATCCAGTCTGCAGCTGCAAGCAGACAGAGCAGGTCAGCCGGCCACTGCCCAAAAGAAATGACTGCTGACACTGAGGCACGCAGCTACCACTGAGGTTAGGATTTTGGCTGGCCAACAGAAGCATCCATGAGTCCCAGCGTAACAGAGCTGTTCTGTTTTCTTAAGGAAGAAAAAAAGGATTTTTTTTCCCTAAATCTGAAAGAAGTTGCTTGGTACAGTTGGAAATAATCCAGGGCAGCACACCAACAGGTGCTTCAAACTTCGGCAGAGTGCAGAAGACGTTGAGAGAGAAAATTAATAGACTCTCTAAATAATACATAAATTTTACAGGCTTTTTTTTCTGTAGAACCCCAGTGAAGTTACTGTATAAATCGGAAACTGAATTATTCATAACTGGTGAATATATAATAAATCGTATTTCGCATTGAAATATTCCTCACAGGTACATGCCTCTTTCCATGCAATGAACAGAAATGGGCAGCGAGCCTGAAAACACCAAGGTCTTACCTGGAGTCTGGGTACTTTGTCAAGGTAGCCAGGCTGCTGGTGTACATGTGTCCTCCTACATCGATGTGCACGGGAGCGTTCGACTTGGTGAGTTGAGCTGGGAGAGGAATTCCTTGAGCAGCCAGAGGAGAAACCGGGGACCGTGTTAGAGACAGACGGGACATGCTTCTTCCCTCCTGCAAAGGGAAGGCAAAAAAGAACAGTTTCTCTTAAATGTAGCAGTGTGTTACCTTTCTTTCCAGTGTGATCACAGATCTAATCAGATCATTTTTGCATCTGCCTGATCACATATTCAGCTAACAAATTATTGCCACCACTGTAATTAAGTGTATTTGCATCATTTTCTTCAAAGTACCAGAGGGAAAGAGAAAGATGCTTATTAGCAATAAGAAATCAAGAAAAAAAAATTTCAAGGTGTCAGCCTCAAGGGGCATAAAACAAACTGCAAAATTCTAATTAAAGGTCGTGGGCTTATGTGTTAGATGTGAAATATCCCCTGACAAACGAATAACCAATTTGTGAATTGGGATTCAGGGGTTTTTGCAAGTTTGTCTCAGTAACGAGACACCTCTAAATTAGTGACTTCCTCAGTACCTAAGGCATATAGTTTATACATGCAGTAAATTTCACATCAAACTAAGATCAATTTTCTGGTTTATTTTCAATAATTGTGAAAGAAATGGATAATTTTCAGTTAAGCCTTAATATTAGACATAAAGAACTAATAAGCTTTCAAACTGAAAGCAATGAAAAGCTTTCACTGGAAGCACTGAAAACAGGAAGATACATAAACTGACCCATGCTTTCATGACAAGATGCCTTAGAAATTACTGTACAATCTGGCATGTGAAATTACAAATTCAACAATCCACCTAATGTTTACTGCCCTAAAAATATTTGAAAATTAGTGAAATCTCTGAATTGAGTTCAAAAATCTTCAGCTGACGTACAAAGCAAAAAATACTGAAATGTCTTAAAAACGAACAGGACAACCATAGCAAAAGAAAATTTCTCAATTCTCTTCTGTAAGAAAAGCACAGCTTATTCTGTATGACACGTGTCTCAAAGCTGATTTCAGTTAAATCGGTATAGATGGCATACATGTCAAATGGAAAAAAACCCTTTTATAAAAGTTTAAGAAAATGTCCATCCATTCTCCCCTTTTTGGGTAAAGCAACATATGCAAAACATTATAGTTGAAGACATTTCTGAATATAATCTAATTTTCTTGGTATTTTGTTCTGCAAGCATGCTACCAAGCATCCAGGCTCTTCCTTACATCTGACAAGCACTTTACATGCAGCATTGCAAAGTGAATTCCCATTTCTCCCACATTACTTTGACAATGTTTCTTAGAAATCTAAAGCTGGTCTCGCCTTTCTCTTAGCAGCATTTTGCACAAGATGCCTGGCTACGCCACTCGATGAACATACAATTAGCAACATTCTTTGTAAAAAAAAATTCTGAGCTATATAGAAAGGGATTGAAAAATCTTAATACATCTGGACAGCTTTACAAAGTCATCACAACATCTCCATTTACTGTATTTCATCTTGGTTAGGTCCTAAGAATTTCCTGCATCTACAGCACAGAAATACATCACCCCATTATGAATCCACATCCTTTTCTCTTCGGAGGCTGGACAGACATCTGCACTGAACACGAAGCAAATACCAACTCTGTTCTAGGACTTCTGTGTCAGCCGATGCAAAATTGGGCATTAACATTTTTACTACAGCACCACCTTCAAGGAAAGTGATTGAATCCTTTCACGACTGAAGACGTTGCTTTCTTGTTTCCCACAAGAGCCTGCTGTGGGCAATCTTCAGTAAATATGTCATATAGCATAAATAAAATAACTAATTTTTAAAAACAACTTAATATGTTAAGTACCTACAGTATTTTAGCGACATGTTTACTAATCTGTGGGTGGCTCATCTGTCTGCCAACACAAAGTTTTTTTTTTCCCTTACCAAAGAGCACTGTAAACTCCTTCACTTAAATGAAAGGGTCAGAAGATCCAGGCTGAATGTCAACCCTGTCTTTGTTCAGACCCCAACTATTATCACTCGTGATAAAGGTACAGACCTTGCACAGTACAGAGCTGCCTTAGAAATAAATCTCACGCAGTTTCACAAAACAAGTGCCTAATTAGGGCTCATCTGCACCCCTTGTTACAATTTCCAAATGAAATCAAAGGACTTCCAATCCTCTGTAAACGCGTCTTACATTTAACCATTTCTCTTGAAATATAGACTTCAATTTTAAAATATGCACAGATAGACTAAAGATCAAGTGATCTGAATCTATTTGTGCATATTTAAACACTGCTGCTATCTTAGGATTTTGTTTAATGTTAGTATACCAGTAAATTCCTTGATCTGTAAAGAGTCTGAGATTCTCAGTGAGGCCATACTCACACAGTAGATATTTAATTTATACTATTCACTGGAGGGACCTTTTGAACAATCCTCTGCTTTTGGCATCTCTCAGCTAGAGCATGTGTTGAAAAAACACTTAATTATAGAAAATCACTGGAAAGCTAAAATAGTTCTCAAACTTTCATGGCTTTTCATACTTATTGAGGGTGCCACTGGCTTTTTGGGGGAGGGGAGGAGAAGGGGAACTAAAACACAGGCTTTTCCCCTGGCTGGAGAGGAATCGAATTAAAAAAATGAATCCTACGTTTTTATTAAAGTTGTGGAATTCACTCATTTTCGTATGAGCAAATTATCAAGGGCGTAATTGTTAAGCACTACATAAAGGGCACTGAAAACACTCCTATTGCTCCAAAAAAATAAATACCCCCTATTTCTTAAGGTACCATAACCCTATTTCTAATGACTCCTTCCTCTTCTTAATGTAAAACGCAGCTAAAAATCATCACAGAGTAATGCACTTATTTTATCCACAAAGCAAAATCCTAAATGTATTTATCCAGTGTAAGTCTTTATGCACATATTTTCTAATACTGATGTGAAAATTAAAACCTTAAGGGTGAATATCACAGAAACACTAACAAACTTCATTTATTAAACCACGTAAAATAATCCTTGCTCTTTAGTTGCCTACAACAGGATACAGCATCCCAACTAGTGGCACAGGCAATAACCCTGCTCTAATAAGTAACACAGGAACCTGCTGAAGGCAAAATCAATAGAGCCTGATTCCCAAATTATCTGAATATTTAGTTTTTCAAACATTACACACCAAGATCTTTCAGAGCCAGCTTATCTTTTTCTGTCTTTCTAAGCTAACTGTGTAAGTACTGCTTGTAAAAACTATTTGCCCATGCAAAGTGAAATAATCACAATGCCATGCTCATTTACACACAAAATGATTTTGTGTCCCATTGTGCTCACAGTTGTTCAGCTCTCTAGGGGTGATTAAACTAGCTATGCTGCTACAGCTTGAGATGATTTCACTGAATCGTTTCTCCATGAAGTTGCTTCTTTGCTAAGCTGTTATTTTAACCATAAAAGGTAAACAGAAGGCAGTTGTAAGAGCTCCATTCAGCTCCGTGCCCAGGGCTATAACCCTAGGGCAGAGAATGCTGAAAGACTGCAGAATTTTCCAGGGTGTTGCCTTTCTTGCTCTAAAGCCTTCAGGAATACTGTTCATTTAATACACACTCTAGATGATACATTTCAGATCCTACTAAAAGAAAGACTTCAAAAGTCTAAGAACTTTTGGGCGGATGAAGCTTTCCCACCTCTGCACATAGCTCGGGGCCATGGTAACCAATACTGCTGTTGATGTTGGGAAAATACAGTAGAAATAAACTGCACAGAGCAGAGCAGACAGATAGGGACAAGGGAGGTGAAAGGTTGCAGGAAAGAAACAGGCAGCAGGCTGGAAGGGATAACGAGAAAAAAGGGGAAAGAATGAAAAAGGAGGCGGCTCTGAAGGAGGGACAAAGTTAAATCAAGGAGCAGGCACTTAAAAGACTACAGATGGGAAGCAAGACTAATTAAGGATGTAAAAGCGCTTTGTTTCTAAAGTTTATTGTTGCCAGGATAAAAATTAATTGAAACTAATGCTGTTATTCACTCGTGCAGTTTAATTCCTTCATGCACATTTAAGACGTGAAATGAAAACGGCAGGTTTAAGGACCTGCCATGAAGCAGCTCTCTCTCCCGGGGAGCCGGGGCAAGAGCAGGTCGGGCCCGCAGCCCGGCCGAGCGGGGTCCAGCCGGCTGCAGGACCCCCGCCTCGGCCGTTGCCAAAAGAGCG